TTACTCTATTCTCTTATGTAGCACTTTTCTCTCTTTTAGTGCTCAATCTCTCTTTCTCTCTACTATCAGAGTGTTCTCATTCTCTTTACTCTTAAGAGTTGCTATTCTCAACATTCTCTACTCTTTCTCACTCAAACTATTACTCATAGTATAGCTTATACTCAAAATTCTCTACTCTTAAGCTAGTACTCATAATGTAGCTCATGCTCAACATTCTCTATTCTTTCTTAAGCTACTTCTCAATGCACAATTAATGCATATGGATGGTTCATACTCATTAATGCACTTTTGAAATGCCAAATGTAATGTTGTTCCAAAATCGTCATTCTGCACAGGTCACACTAAAAAGGGCATAACTTGCGTTATACACATCGGATTGCTAAGGTTTTTTAAAGTTTAAAAATAGGGCTACAACTTTGATGTTTTGGTCTCAACCCAGTTCAATCCGTAAAATGCCCAAAAATCACTGAGAAAGTCACGGCTGTGACAGGGCAGTTTGGTAACATGTTTTCATTTAGGCATTTCATCAAGCAACTCATGTGCATACAAAAAAAACTCTTCTCTAACTACAACTCTCCTTCTCTTTTTAACCATCCAAAATGGGAGGAAACTCCCTACTATAGACATGGTTCCTATAATAGAAGAACACTCCTAAAATATCTACTCAATCTCCTCCAACTTCGTCTCAAACTCATCACACATTAACACTTCCCATAAAGGAAATACTCAACAAACATAACATAAATACTCTTCTCAACTCAATTTATCAACAAGTAGACATATATCTCTACTTAATTTCTCAACAAGCATCATATATACATGCATAAATAAATCTCTACTTAAGAATTTCTTAAGCTTTAGCTTGAGTTGGATTTACTCACCTCATACTTGAGTAGTCTCCACTAAAACTCTCTACTCTTGTTGGACCTTAGTTTTCCCTCATTTTCTAAGCATAAACTTAGTAAGAACTTAACACTTACATAAATAAAACTCATATCTAGAGTAGAGATTCTTACCTCTTCTTGCTTAGAATCAAATCTTTGTCAAATCCCAACTCAAAACTCTCAAAAATCCCTTGGAAGATTGAGTGAGGAATTAAGAGAAAATGGGAGATGAAGAGGCGGTGGAAATGGGTGAAATGAATGGGTTTTGAGAACTCAACCCTTATTAGCTCATATAATAAACACTCTTTCCCATTTTGCCCTTACTCTTTCTTGAAATTTCCACCTCTATCCTTTAATTCTTTACAAACTGACCCCCATTTTACACTATTCTCCATGAAATTTCCTTGCATTTTACTCCCCACTTTTCCTGCTAATTAGGGGTAGAATGGTCATTTTATCTCTATGGAGAATTCTCTAGAAACCTCAAGAAACTTTTCTGCCGTCTCGTCGCCGCGGCGAAGAACTTCCCGTCGCCCCGGTGAAACATTCCAGAACCGACATCGCCAAACACGGAGCAAACATCGCCGCGACAAAGACTATTCTTCGCCCCGGCGAAGACTGCAACTTTAAAATCCACTAAGTCTTGATCAATTCCAGGGTAAACACTCAATCAACCCAAAACATAAACTCAACCAAGGGCCAACCAAACAACATGAATAAGCTACAAGCTCATTTAGGGGTAATTCAGTAACCCTTTAGGCCATACCTTAAATAGTGGCTACGTATTTCAAGTGGGGTGTTACAGCACAAGCGTGAGAACGGATTTTGTATTTCTCATATGTGTTTGAGCTAGAATATCCAAGATGTAACATCGTTGAGAAAGAAGCAAGCCATGCTTATTTGGAACAACTTCCACACCCAAGAAATAGGTTAGCAACCCAAGATCCTCGAGAGAAAACCGGTGAGCAAGAAGAGCCACAAATTGATTGACTAACTCATCATTGTCTCCAGTGATAATTAAGTCATCAGCATAAACGAGGAGACACATGATGATGTGGCCGTCAATGTTAAGAACAAAAAAGGATGTATCAGCATGAGAAATCTTGAAACCATATTCAATAAGAAATGTGTAAAGTTCATGATACCAAGCGCGAAGAGCTTGCTTGAGCCCATAAATGGCTTTCCAAAGTTGACAAACATAGGAAGGATGATCTGGATCAATACAACCTAGTGGTTGAGACATATATACAACTTTTGAGAGATGCCTTTGGAGGAAGACATTGTTGACATCTAGTTGTTGGAGAGACCACCCACGACTCACAGCAAGTGTAAGAAAAACACAAACAGTGGTGGGTTTGACCACAAGACTAAAGGTGTCATGATAGTCAACTCCTGGATGTTGATGAAAGCCTTTTGCAACTAAGTGAGCTTTAAACTTGTCAATGGAACCATTAGAATTACGCTTAGTTCAAAAAATCCACTTACAACCAATAACATTGTGACGAGAGTTAGGAGGCACTAGCTCTTAGGTTTCATTGGAATTAAGAACATCATATTCTTCAGACATGACCTGATGCCATTTTGGATATTTGAGTGCATGGGTCACAGTGGTTGGATCTAAGTCATTGGATGGGGAGAGTTATGTATTGAGATTTAACTTTTGAATTGGTTTATGAATGTTATTTCTAGCTCGGGTGGTCATAGACTGAGTAGGAGGTGGTTGGGGCATTGGTGGGTTATGGGTTGGTGTTGGCTCATTGGAAGTAGGTTGAGTATGAATAGAGGTTGTAGTAGGTGAAGAGCCGGCCAAGGTGGTTATGGATGGAAAATCACAATGGGGCGACCAGGAAGCTTCAACTTCAGATGGTGTAGTGAGTGGTGATATCACGGTAGTAGAAGAAATTTTAATTGGTGGGGGAATCCAAGTGGTAATGGTACTAGCTTGAGGACGAGAGAATTGACTAGAGAGAGATGTGAAGGGAAAAATTGACTCAATGAACTTAACATGCCATGACACATAGATTTTAGAAGTTAATAGATCTAGACATAAATAAGCACTTTGGGTTAAGGAATACCCAAGAAAGACACACGGTGTAGAACGAGATCTAGTTTGTGAGAGGTATAGGGTCTAAGCCAAGGGTAACATAGACAACCAAAGACTCGTAGTTTGGAATAACTTAGAGTATTGTGAAAATATCTTTCATAAGGAGAGGAGAGATTTAGTGTGGAAGTAGGCATGTGATTGATGAGATAAACGGTAGTGGTAAAGGCGTGAGATCAATATATTAGAGGGAGAGAAACATGAAAGAGAAAAGTGAGACCGGTTTCAACAATGAAGAGATGACGTAGTTCAGAAAAACCATTGTGCTCGAGTGTGTGAGGTGGAGTAGTTAGATGAGATATACCATTAGTGGCAAGAGCGATATATTCTCCACCATTATTAGAGTAAAGTGTAATGATGTTTTTGTTGAAGTGTTTTTCCACTATGGATTTAAATATGATGAATATATCTTTGACTTAAGATCTGTGTTTGAGAGGATAAAGCCATATATACTTAGTGAAATTGTCAATAAAATGACATAGTATTTAAATCCATCATGTGAAATCATTGGGGAAGTCCAGACATTAGAGAAATGATTTCAAGTGGTTGAGGGGAGACAAGAGTAGATTGGGAAAATGATAATTTATTACTTTTATTGCAATGACATGCGTTACATGAAAATTCAGATGACATGGAAGAAGATAAACTTAAGTGATAGCTGGAAACAATATACTTTAAAATTGGAAAAGAAGGATGTCCTAATCTATGATACCACTCAGATGAGATGGTTTTAATACTGGAAAAAGCAAGCAAAGGTGTGGATACTGACCACTCATATAAACCATCTTTAGTGTGTCCCTTCAACTACGTTGTCTCGGTGTGAAGTTCCATCACAAAAAACGAAGATGGTAAGAATTTAATTGAAACATTATTTGAGTTGTAGTAAAATTAAGAGATTGATATCAAATTCGTTTTCATGCTTGGTACACAAAGAACATTATTTAAGGTAAAAGTTGTTTAAGGAGTTTGAAGAGAATTTAAACCAGTATGAGTGATAGAAAGACTTGAGCCATCTCCAATCATGATGTCGTCAGTGTCGGTGTATGGTGCATGAAGTGATAGGTTGCTCAAGTCAGAAGTGACATGGTGAGAAGCACCATTGTCTAAGAGCCACGATGGAGTATTGGTAAGATTGGCAACAAACTGAGTTTGTGGTTGCCATGATTGTGTGGTGGTAGTGGACAAATTGGAGTTGTTGGACGATTGAATCGGTACTAAGCGGAAAGATGGACATCTCTTTGTAGTGTGACCCCGAGTCTTGCAAATTTGACAAAGACCAAGATATGGACAACAGGGAGGATGATCTCTTGGAGTTGAATTTGGCCTAGCGTTTGTCGACATGGGGGGGTGAGTGGCAAAGTTAGGCGACAAGCGCCAGCCCGTGGTGTTGTTACATGAATTAGGTGACGGGCGCTAGCCCATGGTGTTGTTACTTGAGTGGGGCGACAAGTTCTAGCCTACAGAGGTACGACTTGTCAGATTGGCTGTAGTTGGGAAATAATATGGCTCATGTTTTGTTTCTTGAAGGGATGCCTCAAAATTGAGTAATTTCTCATGGAGTTCGCCAAAGGCAATGGGAGTATCTCTGGCCTGCATGGCTCACACCAACTCCTTGTAATCATCACTGAGGCCGTTTAGAATTTTCTTCATGAGATATTTAGTGTCAACTGAAGCTCTAAGGAGAACGAGTTCATCTACACAAGCTTTGACAGTTTGAAGAAATTCGATGACACTGTGTGGTCCCTTGATAAACTTCTTGAATTGGCTTTTTACTTGCCTAATACGTCCATCAGAGGGCTTTGTATATGTATTAGCTAGGATTGTCTAGGCTTCCCAAAGGTTTTGGATTGAGCAACAAATGGAATTAAAGTTGGAGATAGAGTGCTGATGATGGCATTAAGAATCAGTTGGTCTTGTCAAATCTGGATAGTATAGTCTAGATTTGGTGTGGTGGTGTCATTTTGGGTGGTGGTGGCTGTTGGACATGATTTTGAACCATCGATATAACCGAGAAGGTCATAACCGATGAAGAGAGTGTGGAACTGTACCTTCCAGGAGATGTAGTTGTTGTTTGTAAGTTTGAGAGGAACTTGAGTTGCAACGTTGATGCTAGTGAGTGTTTTGTGGGAGTTATTGGTGTTGTGAATGGTGGTAGAGGCTGAGGGATTGCTGCTGGTAGTGTTTGTTGTCAATCTGATGGCTGGAGACAATGAAAAATAGTTGCTAAAAATTGAAAGTGATTAGGCTGAATTAGGCAGTAAGAAAATGGCAGAAAACTATAAAAAAAAAAAAAAAAAAAAAAAAATCAGTTGAGGAATTGGATTAGTTAGCACTAATACCATAATAAAGAAGAATGTTGAAATAAAATGGCACATTTCTTCATTGATAAGCTTCGTATATATACAATATTGAAATAAGATATCCTAAGACTAAGTAATATCCTAGGACCAATTCAAATATATTTGAATATTTACACTTTGAATAATAGCTCAACTAACTAAGACTAAGTCAGTGTTAATTACAAAGACATCTCTAATGATCTTTATTAACATGCTTTATATATATTTGCCAATAAATGCAGGGTTTGAATCTATATTGCTAAAACGTCCATGATAATGTTGATGATATGCAACTGAAAGCATATTTTAGTCATTGTGGGACTATCACTTCTGCTAAAATTATGCGAACAGATAAAGGAATCAGCAGAGGCTTTGGATTCATATCTTTCTCGAACCCTGAAGAAGCCATCATATTCAAAGCCATTAACACACTTAATGGTATGTTCATATACTATTGATGTTTTTTATTGTTATTTTCTTCATTATTATTATTATTTTTTTTCATTTACATTAATGTGATCTTGACTTTGTTTGTAGGATCTATATTCCATGGAAAGACATCGTATGTGGCAAAGGCTCAAAGTAAAGAGGAAAGAAAAACATATTTGCAACAAGTATATGCAAGGCAACGAATGTTAGGACCTCCCTCTGATCATCTCTTTTACTAGATTTAACAATCAGCTTTATCACGGTTGATTACCGTTTCCACCACTACCACCAGTACAAGTTTACCAACCCCAACCCCCAAACTTCACCGGATAGAGATCACCTAATTGATTTGCTCCATTGACGAGCCACAATCAACCTCCTCTTCGTCCACTTCCAATGGTAATATATATATATAACACTTGGCTTTATATTTTTTAATGAGACTAAACCTTGATTTTGCGGGTTCCTAGATCTACTAGAAGGATGAACATAAACAGAAATGGTGGTAATTATCTAGTATTGCCATTAATGCACAATAGTTTATATGGTCCATTACAGATATTAATTATTTAATTTCATTATATGAATATAACGTTGTGTTGCTTGTATTATTAATATGCTATTTTATTCCTTATAAAATGTGCTATTAATTATGGATGTTGTAGAGGAATACTCACTTAGCCAAGCTGATCACAAATGAATCGCGCTTATCGGAAGATATAAGTAGTTTGCTTGGTGCAGCTTCACCCAATAAAAGAAAGGATATCCTAGGGGAAAGACTCTTACCACTTGTGAAGAAAATCAAGGTATAAATAGCATTAAACGATCATTTGTTATATCTTTATTTTCTCAAAGTAATTTATTTTTTCTATTATAGAATCATTATTTTATTATAAAGGATTCTTCGAAGATAATAGGAATGCTTCTAGAGATTGATAATTTCAAGCTTGTTGTTCTGTTAGAGTCTCTGGAATTATTAGCTTCAAAAGTGGAAGAAGCTGCTCGAGTCTTAGAACATAATTTTTAGCTTCACAAGTGGCAAGTAGAAGAAGCTCTTCTAGTCATGGAAGAAGAGGGCACTTCATAATTTCTAATTCAACAAATAACACTTAAAAATTTCTAAAATTAGAATCTTTCTTCATTAGTTGTATAAATCTAAAAGTGGGCAGGGACTGGACCCAATCGGGCTCGAGTCTGTGTCCGGTTGGGACTAGTCTTTCATGGGCCCAGTGATAGAGGCTAAGGGATTTTTGTTGGTAGTGTTTGTTTTCATTCTGACGACTGGAGATGATGAAAAACAGTGGCTGAAAACTGGAAGTGATTAGGCTGAACTGGGTAGCAAGAA